GGGCCCGCGCTTGCCGCTCCGACAGCCTGGCCCTCGGGAAAGCCTCGTAGAACTGCAGGGCAGCACCGTACACCTGGGGCGGGGGGCGGGGCGGGTGGAGATGCCGTCAGGCGGGCTCGGCACAGCCCGGACCCCTCCGCACACTCCCCACACCCACCTTGTCACCAGCTGCGCCCGTGAGCACAAAGGTGGAGAAGACAGGCACGGGGTACTTGGTCTGGGCGGGCCAGCACTCCACAGTGGCTCCCATGGGCAGGCAGAAGACGGGCACGGACTCGGGCAGTGGGAACGCCTCGTTGTCCTCCTCTGGGTAGCGGCCCAGCAGCTCTGCACCCCCGGCAGAGTGGGGGGACCAGAAGAAGGAGGGCCGATCAGACTCCAACGGAAGAATCCGGGAGATGCCAGAGAAGGGCCCAGTGGCAAAGGCGAAGTGCGTTCTGGGCACGCTGATGCTACCAGCCAAGAGGCACCAGGACAAGGGGACATGAAGGACCAAGAGCTTGGAGGGACAGAGGGGCGACTCACCTGCCTCGTACACCAGCGTGTTGGCCTTCGCCAGGCCCACCTTGTAGCACAGGAATACTGCTGGGCCCCACTGTCCCAGGAACGACAAGAGACAGACACATTGCTAACAAAGATGTCCAGGCTCCATTTCCTCTTCCACCCCTTAGCAGTTTTTTGTCTTTAATTAAAAGTTAAGTTTTTTTAAGTAGGCTCCAAGCCCAGTGTGGAGCCCCAAAATGCAGGGCTGGGACTCACGACCCTGAGATCGAGAGTCAGATACTTAATTGACGGAGCCCACCTAGGCATCCTAGCGGTCTTTTGTCTTTAAAACTCCCAATCGGGGAGCCTGGGTGGCTCAGTTGGTTAAGCGTCTGCCTTCGGCTCAGGTCATGATCCTGGAGTCCCGGGATCGAGCCCCGCATCGGGCTCCCTGCTCGGCAGGGGGTCTGCTTCTCCCTCTGACCCTCCCCCCTCTCGTGTTCTCTCTCTCAAATAAATAAAATCTTTAAATAAATAAATAAATAAATAAAACTCCCAATAATCCTGGGGCACCTGGGTGGCTCAGTCGGTTGAGCATCCATCTCTTGGTTTCGGCTCAGGTCATGATCTCAGGGTCGTGAGATCGAGCCCCATGTCGGGCTCCATGCTGGGCATGGAGCCTGCTGGAGATTCTTTCTTTCCTCTCCCTCTGCTCCTCCCCTCACTCGCTTTCTCTCTCTCTCTCTCAGATAAATAAACAAAATCTTTAAAGAAAAACCTTCCAATAATCCTGGTCCCCCAAGACTAGAGTCACCCCTCTGGGCCCACCCTGGACGTCAGAGGCCCTGGTGCTAGGGCGCCCTCTGAGCCCCATGCCCAGCCCTCACAGCAGCACAGTGCAGGCCTCTGCGTCTGGCCCCAGGGCCCTGCTCACCATGCCGGGGTTGAGGTTGCGGGGCAGTCGGCAGTAAGTATGAGGAGTGCCCTCGCCCTTGCTGGGCAGCACCAGGCAGAGGTCAGTGATGCCCAGGGCATGCAGCCCTGCCCCCTCTGCTGCCCGCCGGCAAGTGAGGTAGGTGCGGGGGTGCCCAGGGCCAGGAGGGGCCAGGTTGGCCGAGTGGCTGTACGGCGTCGTGTCCAGCACTTGGAAGCCAGGCTTGGGTCGTTCCTTCCCCTCATACAGGACCCTGGACACGGAGAGCAGGCATAGATGTCAAGGGCTCAGGAGAAAGACCCCAGTCCTGCCAGATCTGCCCAACGAGTCCTACCTACCAGCCTTGCACCCTCAGCCTCATCGGGCACCGGGGCCCACTTCTTGCAGGACTCTGCCCTCCAGAATCCTGTGCCTCCTCTTCTGCCCTCGGCTCTACTTCTCGATCAGTAACAACCTCTCAAGCCTTCCGTGGCTCTCATGCTCATTCATAAATGCCAAGAGGAAAAGCTTCCACTTACTGACTCCATGCCAAGTCCCACATACAGATGGCCTTATTCAGTCTTCTCAACCACCCTGTGGAGAGGTATTCTTGCCCCATTCTCCAGAGGGGCTCAACGCGCAGCCCAAGATCCCCCAGCTAGCAAGCGGCCGTGCTAGTCCCCGGACCCACTCCATGTGGTGACTAAGCGTGACCACCTCCCCCTGCTCCCTGCCTCTAGCCTGCTCTCTTCCTGCCCTCACCCCAGCCCCCCCCCCGTCCCCGCCTCCCCTGGTGCCCACACAGGAGGGGCACGCACCCCAGCTCAACGAGGGGGGGCTTGTCGCGGCCCCTGCGGTAGCAGATGACGGGCTGAGTTCCACCCAGGAGCCCAGCACTGAGTTCCAAGGGGTGGCCCCCCGCGGAGGACTGGATGCAGGTGTAGCCCTGGGGCACCTCCTCGCCCAGCGCCCTAGCAATGACTGCCACGTCTGTGATGGGCTCAGCTGGCCGGGGAGGGCGCAGGGGCGCACTGGGTTCGGGAACCCATGTCTCCTCAGGGATGGGGGCTCCGTTCCCTGCAAGCCCAGCTATCACGAAGTAATCCACCAGCCGGGGGGGCCGCTCCTCCGCCATGGCCCCCCCCTCACTCACTGCATCTGTAACGGTCAAGTGAGGGAGAGATGAGGAGCAAGGGAGACAACCAAGGGGCCCCCCTCTGCTCCCTCCTCTCCACGGGCCTTCCAGGGGAGGGTCGGGTCGGGGGTGGTCCGCCAACCCTGAGCTCTCCCGCCTGTGACGTCACCAGGCAAGTAAAGAGAGCAGGACCCTCCCGCGGGCGGCACCAGCCCTCCCCCCAAGCAAGCCCGGCTCCACTCCCGCGCACACAGCTGACCTCGGCTCTGACCTCATACCGCTCCTGTATCCCCTTTAAAGGCCCCACCCGTCCTCACTCCCGACAGCGGGGACCACAGTCCGTTCTATAATGGCCTGCAATGACATCATGCCAACCTGACAGTCTGTTTTAAGGGTTTCTGACCTTCCCACTCTACTGATGACATCATCAGAACCTCACGATCCAGCCAAGGTTCTTAAAGAGCGCACCTCTAGGTTTCGGGAAGGCCCACGACACCCAAGTTTTCGTGTCCTTTTCCCTACCCTGTCCACTAACCCGACACAAAGCCCAGCGCCCTCCCACCTCCAGGATCCTGAAGTTAGGTCCGAAGCCGCCGTGGGAGGCAGTCCGGCCATCTGCCCTCGTTCGCGGAGCACAGGGAGGGAGCCGGGCGCCCCACGGGCCTCCGCTAACTGTGTTCTCACCTGCCGCCATGGCCCAACCCCAGAGCGGGGGCCCCGGGGGTCCCCAGAGCCCGGGGGCGCAAAGCTGGGGAGCAGCTCGGTGGGTGGTTGCAGCACAGGACTGGAGGCATGGGGCGCTCGGGAGGGGAAGGGAGGGGACTTCCCGAAACCCCGGAGGGGAAGCTGCGCGGGCGGAAGTCGGCCCCGGGGCGTGCGGCGGGGGCACCGCCGGGCCGGCAGCGCAGCCGTGGGCGCG